ATAATATATAACTATACACGCTCGTGCGTCGTATATTTCATTTTGCAACTAAGGCTCAAAATAAAAAAAAATGATAGATTCCAACGTATTATTATGAAATCCATCATGAAAAAAAATCAGTGCGATTGCGGAAGGTGTTCCAGGGCTAGTTTTGTAGGTCATTTGAAGACAGACAAAAAACTACAGTACTGTGTTTTCGTGGAAATTAAAGGAAAAAAGTTATAAGCGCAAGACGTGAATTTATGTATTGTTCTTTATCTGTTGCAAAGAAACGACAGTTGAAGAGAAATCACATAGTATAAAATAATAAAGCAATTTCCTTAATTTCTATTTTAATTCTAAACAAAATTATACAGGGAATTTTGATATTCATCTGGGGAATGTTGTGAAATTTCAAATTTATTAGATGATATGCGATTAAAACCTCTATACGGTACGGCTTAGCTATCGGACACGTCTGAACTATTACAATTGACCAGGAACGGACCGAGACCTTTTTTTGTTGAAATTTTACTCAATGTTTCTAGAAAGACATATTTTTAACAGGTATGGTAACAGTTCGCTTCTTAGGGATCGTTTTGATGACCAGCAGCAATTACATGTTATTTCTTTTTAACAAAATTTGAAATTATCCCTTTCCCGCTATATTACAATATTTTTAGATGTTAGACGAATCCGTTTTCATACCTCAGTTTTTTTCTTATACATAAACTGTGATCGGCGGGCCAAAAATTGTGTTGCGTACGGCCCTGTCACCAGGCTATTAACAATTAATTATTAACCGAGCAAACTGATCTCGTGATAGACCACGAGATGGTTTTGTGTCTTTTATGGTGCGACGGATAATAACGGATTTACACTCTCTCGACGACGACTATATTTCAGAATTTGAAATTAGCGATGACGTTCGTTTGATAATTCCTCACTAAAGGATTCCTCCGCCTGCTCGTGCCAAGCCAGCGGATCCACAAAGTTTTCCTAATCGGTTACGCACGGGAAAACGTCCCGGAAGGATCTGGTATCGAACGACGCGCTGTTGAAAGGAATGTAACGGTATAAGTAGCTGTAGCTGTTAGCGGTTTTTGGATGTTGCATTTGAAATTACTCAAAAAGATGTAACTCTGTGTACAGTACATGTTATTTGGCGTTTCGGACATTCGGGCCACACGTTGGGCGCCACATCGTCTAATTCCATCATTCTCTTGGGAATTACCTCTAATGTGGGGAGAACCGGCGTTTTTACTGAGCTATTTGTATATTGCCTGCAATGCTTTGACTCTCGTCTCTTGCTCACCAACAAAGAAGCAAACGGGACGCCTCCGTTTCTCGTCTTCTACTTCTCTCGGAAGGTCATTTTTGTCCCCTTGGACATGTTTCTCTGCTTTGGCCGGGGTTGGCTCTGCATTGAGAGACTGTTAACGGCTTTGTAGTTCTGATTGGAAAGTTGAGCTAAAATTTGAAAAAAAAACAAAGCCTTTATAATACAGTAAAAAGTATGAGAGCTAATAATCAAACATATTTTTTTAAGTTTTGTTTTGTTCTGGTTCTATTTACAACTTTTGACGTTTCGAGAGACATATCGCTCTCTTTTTCAGAAGTTACTCTGAAACTGTTTTGTTCTGCTCGGTTGCGCGTTTGCTCTTTTTTAGTAAAAGTTTTCTTCGTTTCTCTTTTTAAATTTAGAAAAAAGAAGGTATACAACATTTTTACTTTTTGAAATAAGTATCTATAACAAATCAGAAGTAATGAGGTAACACATTTCTTGTTTTTTGTTCTGAATGGTACAAAACTAAAATTATTATTAATTTTGATGGAAATCATATTTTTACAATACAGAGTGTCTTAAACTCGATAGTATGGGCCTAGTGAGAGGATACAAGAAATTTAAATAAAAATAGAAAGTATTATCTTTGGGATTTGACAGAACCGACTGATGACGTCATCAGTTAAATTTTTTCCAGAAACATATCCAAATTAACTTTTTCTGAATGAGAAAATATATTGTAAGCGCCAAAGTTATTCGTTTGACGATCGTATTGAGTAACGACAAGTATTTTGTGACATTTATGCACTTTAAACGACGAACATTCAATTATTTTCCAACGACTACTTGATCCTTCCACCGTTAATGCGATTTTTAGCTGGTGTTTCTTTTGAGACTCTTTAGGATGATATTGCTAATAACTTTTAATAGGGAAATAAAACAGAAAAATTGCTCTAATAAAAGTTTATTAGAAAAAAGAGAGCTTTTTAACAGGAAAAATATTTATATTAACGTATGCAAAAAAAAATACATGCACGTCAATGCATATTTTTAATTTTGTGTTTTTTTCAAGAAAAAATTTTTTGTTTTATTAATTTAGCAATTGATTGTATTATTTTTAATAAAATAGCAATATCCTTTAGAACTAAGCTCCAAATTAAAAAAATCGTAACAGAGATCTTTTATTAGGTGATGAACGACGATTACAGAAAATACTCACAAGATTAAAAATGTCAGTTGAAGCGTGCATATTATTAAAAAAGGGGATACTATGGCTTACACGCACGCTCTGATTTTAGTTTACACTAAAACTTTCCCTATCGTCTTATCATTCAAAATTTGAGAAAAAAATAACATTTCATAATTGAGTATTAAAAAGAAAACGAAAAACTTTAACTCTGTATTTTAGAAACCAAACATTTTATGTCTTTTGTATGACTAATATGAAGAATAACTGCTAAAGAGTGATAATATGTAATTAAAAAAAATCGTAGATGTAAGATTGTTCCCAGGTAGAAAATGCGAGTTTATCTCATCTTTTTTATTGTACGATTAGGTCAGCATTTTTGGACAATTTGCAGGATAAAAATGAACTGACTTAAGTGAATTTTACTTTATGTCAATAAAAATTACGTTCTGTTTCAAGGTCGGACAAAATATTTCATTCAGTCCTTTGCAAACTAAGGTACAAATATGCAGAATAATAATCCATTAGGTTTAAAATAATTGTTCATTGAAATCAGTCAGTATTGTTAGGGACTATTTAAAAATAGACTGGTCGAACTCAACTTATCAATGTTCGTGTATCATCCGGCAAACAGCTGCAGTCGTTCAAAATAAAAACGTTTTTTATTTTGGTACATTTTTTCTCAGAATTTAAAATCTCTCAGGTTTTGTTTAGGTGATCGACAGCATAATCCAAGTTTTTTTAAGGAACTTTTGTAACTCGTAAATATGTCGAAGCGTTCGATTTCTTTCTATAATTGTTGTTGCATTTGTTGATTAGTGTGCAATGGATTTATTTTAAATGTCTGTTGTTCAGCGGGCTCCTAAGCATAACATGACATGTTAATCACTAAATAGTCTGTTATATTTCAATTAGTAAGTGATGCAATTCACAAATCCAATTGAAGATTTATTTTTTAAATTATGTACATATTTTTTAAAGGTACCAAAAATCATAAATTCGCTTCACGTTCGATTTTTGTTTCGAAACATGAGTAAAAAAGCATCAAAAAACCGTTTTTTCTCTGCTGTCATTTACCGCATCCAGCTTATACTCGCTATGTTTGCAGAGCAGTTAAATAATTGTGGAAGTAGGTTTTAAAAAAATATATTGTATCGAAACGGGTTTATTTTTATTGACTCGTAGATTTAATTTATTATTTTATAACCAGCGTAATACATGGTTTATTGTTTTGAAAATAAAAATATTTCACTGAAAAATACAATCATGCTTAAACATCTCTTTTGTTTTCCTCATTGATTCCCTGTTTGCTTTCGATGGAGAAATAGATGTTACACATTTTTATGACAACTTCATTACCGGCTAAAACTTCTATGGTTGATAGTTAAAAATGTGCTTAATAGTTTTTTATCTATCTAATAAATTTCTAGTTTCTTTACAAATTGTAACTACTTTTGTCGATTTTTATTTGGTCTCGCAAAATTTTTTACCTACTTAAGTGTGCTAGGATCGAGATGTTCCAAATTAAAATTGCCTTACATTAATTGACACTATAATTTAGCAAATGATCTATTACAGCAGGGTGCGTCGCACGCTTAAATTTCTAATTTATAATAATGCCTAATGGCTCATCATAATGCTATTAAGGGCACTACTTGAATGAAAACTATTGCTTCATCCAGATGTATACAGGGTGTATTTAAATGAAGATTCCTTGGGTGAAAATAAGTCGATTTAACCTAACATACCTATATCCCAAGTCGTATAATAATAAAAAAGATACATGGTTTCAAAATGAAAAATAAAACATTGTTTTTCCTTATTAATTTCTATAATTTTAGTCAGAAATGTTTCAAATTCACAAGAGAGAGGTTTTTTAATGATGGGAAAAATAATATAATAATGATTTTAGAGTGTAGAGTACGAGGCGCCCTCTGCAGACAACGTTATGCATTACAGATTTATACCTCCACGAATATCAAGGTTCGAGTTGCTTAAGTAAATAAAAAATCGAATAGGTAAATGCCATTTGATAATACTCGTACATTGCAATTTTGAAGTATTAGTTTAAAGTGTTAATTGATTTTAGTCACTATTTACCCGCGTCCTAGATATTAAATAGTTTTGGAATTGGAATAAAATAACAAATTATTATTTTTTGAATGTTACAAGAACTGTTCTAGTGCTGTACGACTTTATCATGCCAGATATCTCAATCGTCGTGTTCCTGCTAGAGAAACTTTTGCGACGGTGCTGTTAGTATTATACGCCTGCTGACTAATACTGTAACACAAACGCACATGCACAAGAAGCACAGGGTCGGTTACATTTATGTTTAATTTTCTTAATTAATTATCTCGAAGACAGAATCATTTAGACTATCAATTTGACCAGTATCAATCATTAATTTATTTCAAGACTTAGATAAATCTAAAATTGGTTGAAAATGGTATTGAGAATGTAATGCCTTACGCAACATTTGTTGGTTTCTTATTTTTGTTAGCAAATAATGGCCTCAAGGATGTAAATAACGTGAACACAATTGACGAACATGATTAATACTGTGTATTTTAAAATTTATAATATGAACTGTAATAATAAACTTATTCCATATTTTACATCAAAGAATTTTCTAGATTTCATTAGATTTCACATTATTTCCCTTTGAGCATGCTGTGAGGCCAGGTCCTACACAAGAAGCGTAGGCCATAATGTGTGGGATAGTATTCTCCTCGATGACGCCAGAGTATAAGTGGGCCCACGGACCGTTGGCGAAGATGCCGACGTCGTCAGCTCCGTGAGTCTCAGATGTCAGATTGTAGATGCCAGGGAATTGGTAGTCTTTGTCGTCTGAAATTTTACAATTATTTTATTGTACTATTACTTACTTCAACACTTACTAGTATCGTCACTATCAACGCGGTGACCCTTTGGTTTGTACCCAGGACCGTTGGCGTAGTTCAATGTTAGATATCCATAACCGTTTGTGTCTTTCCCTGCTATTTCAAATATCTCATTGTTCCTCTCCGGATACCCCGACATAGACAGCGTATGGGCGTGATCTGCTGTCACGACGATAAGGGTGTCGTCTTCGTTCGTCATCTCCAAGGCCTTTTCAATTGCTTTGGACAGTTCGACTGTTTCGTCCAAAGCTTTATGTGCTAAGGCGGCGTGGTGACCGTGGTCGATTCGGCCGCCCTCTATGAAGAGAAAGAAACCTTTCTCTGCACCATTACCTCTGCTGACGACTTTGATCGCTGCTTCCGTCATCTCGGCGAGGGAAGGGGTGGAAGAGGTGTTTCGATCTAAGTTGTATGGCATGTATCCTTCACTGAAGAGGCCTAAGAAACGATAGGAATGTTTTGGAGGTTGTTAAAATACAGGTATCACTTACCTAAGACATATTCCGCGTCTTCTGGTACGTCCAATAGTTGATCTCTATTCCACACGTACCTTGCCTTTTGGTTTTTTTTGTCCTTCAACCATTCTTCTATGAGATTCCTTCCATCTGACCTGGTACCACGACTTCCTGCCTCATTCTCGTGTCCGATAGGTAGAAACATCTGGCTTCCTCCACCGAGTATAAAGTTAAATTTACTCCCCGTCTTCCCTTTGATGAGTTGGTAGGCAATGTCGCGACATTTGGTGGCGTTCCATCCGGCTTCCGTCACGGCTGTGTCGTTCTGCCACAATCTGTTGGCTATGTGAGCGTAGGTGCCTGGAAAATTGAAAAGTCTTCGTTTAGAGAATCCCACAATAATCGCTGTCCAAACAGTGGGCCAAGAATCGAACCCTGAGGCAGTCTTGGAGTCACAGAACAAAGTTTTTCTTACCTGACGGCGATGCGTCAGTTACTGTGGACGTGGTGACTATTCCCGTCCGTTTCCCAACAGCTTGCGACCAGGAAGCTATGGAGTGTACGTGGTTCTCTTCTTTTACCATCTCGTCGCAGTCGTTCAACTCTACTGCCGCCGTGACGCCGATTGTGGCGATGTTGGCTTTGACACCACCTAAGTAGGCCGTGGCTGAGCAAGCCGAGTCGGCCGTCTGGGCGTCTACGCAGTAGGTCTGGAAAACAAAAGAAAATCGTTTAGCTTTAAATACATGCCTCATCGCCTACTTCGTTTCATTCGTTGTGTATTACCTTGGACAGAGCTGTGTGGTGGAACCTTTCAAAGATTAGTTCGTCTTCTTCGGCCCCCATATACATCCTTGTGGCGGTTAATGTTGGGATCGACATGCCATCACCGATGAACATGATTACGTTCTTTGCGATATCTAAAGTAAAAAAATTAAGGCAGTATTTGGAAAAATTGCATTCAGAGCCGGTATAATTCAATTTTTGTTACTTTTGGCTTAGCAACTAGTCTTAAGGGGTAAAAATATACGATATATGACTAAAAAATAGCATCATAAATTTGTCTTAATTGATTAAAATTAAAACAATAGCTGTTTCTTTCTTCTGTCATTGGCAGTAAGTAAAATAGGCTAAAAGGGATTAAGGTCTTTATTAAATATTGATATTAGGTATATAACAAAAAACAAAAGTTTCTTGTTTTTAAGATAGACTTTTCAGTTTTTGTTGTTATACTCACTTTCATTGTGTCTAATTTTAAGTTTCTGTTTTAAGACTGCCTGCGCCTTTTCATGCCAATAACTGCCTGTGCTCTCAACATCCGTCATTCTATACTTGATCCTTTTGGGGGGTGGTGGATGCATCTGTCTGTCATCTAAAGGGTCAAAAAATATTTTCATCGAATAATGCCTAATTATTGATTATTATCAGTCATTTACAGTAATGCAATTTAACTTCATGTAGGTCGTTTATACTCATTCTTACCTAAAATAACATACGCTTTGATGCCGGAAAGAGTACCATAACACATCACAATAAAGAAAACGTGAAGCTTCATCTTCGTGTTATAGACCATTGACAACTATTCTAATCTACGAAACTATTTAAATTGCAGCGGGTGGCTTTGTTCAGCGTGCACAGTTACAGGGTGGTTAAGAATACTAGTTGTCGTCTCTAGAAAATCAAAGCTAACATGATTAGTTTTCGAAATATTTTTAAAAAATCGAAATTTTGAAAATCCGATTGTGCTTCATTTCAGCCTTGTTTGAGGTGACATTGAAAAAAAAAAAACACTTTCTCATGGCAACTTTTTGCCCTGTATCGAATGGCATCATCAGTTTTTATATGCAACCTTTCGACTTTCCAGGACCATCATCAACTTAATTTTTTACATCTTCAATGTGTTCGTTTCTTTATCTAAATTTCTTATTTAGATTTCTTGATTTATTGAATTATCGTACACCATCCATTTGTACACGCAAAATTTTCTTGCTTCAAATGTACAACATTTGATTTTAAGATATCGCACGTCTATATACAGGGTGTTAATGAATAGGTGTTACAAACGGATATGGTATGTAAAAAATCCAAAAATAAGTGCAGTTTACTTAATAAACATATGTCCTAAAGCGGCTCATTTTCGAGATACAGGGCGTTGAAATTTAAAAATAATAAACTATTTTTTCCTGTAGCTCCGGTATTAGTTAATATTTCTTTATCAAACTCAACAGACAGATTTACTAGCTTAAAGGATGCATAAATATGGCAGAAACCATTTATTGGCTTCTTCTAGTGGCGTGCGATAGGTGTCGTTTCACCTTTTATCCCCCCTAAATTGTGCGGCACTGTACAAATATTCGTTTTTCGTACGTTATAGAATTTACTAGTATTTTTTACGTAAATAATGTATACTTGTTAGACTTCCATAAAATGAGTAATTATCAAGTTATTAACATTTACATTACTGAGGTCACCTTATGCTCCAAAAAC